CCCCAAAACCCCAAAACCCCAAAACCCCGCTAGTATTATGGTTGTTCAAATAACTGAAAAGATAATATAATAATTTGTTTAATTTTAATGGAGTCTTACTTCGGTTTTAATAGCAGCAGTCTAAAGGAGAAATTCAAGAGTAAACTGGCACAGGCTACAAAGTTGATACCTAAGGATATAGTTAATAAAGCTCAAAATGTCCTTAATCAAAGAAAGAGAAATTAGTCTTTTACCTCTCCAGAAACTCTCGACGAAGATTAAAATGATGGTGAAACTATTGTAATAGATATCAATATTTAGAATTAAAACAAGAAGAAATCAAATGAGTTCAATTGTGATGAGTCTATCTCAATGAAAAAAGATCATTACTTCAAGAAAAATTAAAATGACAACAGCTAGGAAAGCCCAGACTCTAAAAGCTCCAACAATTTAGATGACAAATTTGAAGTGATTGCTTAACACAGACAATCTCTAAAAAGTTAATAACCTGTTTTAGAGTTACCAGATCCCACCAAAGCATGCAATGATATCATAAAGAACCTAATGAGCTTTAACATTAAGAACTTAGAGCAGTAATCTTCTTATAGGATTAAGGAACAGGCCATTAACATAATCAATCTAATAAATTAACCTAAGATTAATGTGGTTGCTCTTTAAGATCTATGTTTCAACTCAGGTATACCAGATGAAATTAAAGGACTCAGACCACTAGCATGGCGCATATTGTTAAATCACTATCCGCCAGATACTAAGAGTTGGGAGTAGCATATAATAGATTAAAAAGAGGTTTATGATGGCTGGAAGAGAGATTTAATCATTAAGCCTACAATAAAACAAGAGGAAGAGTACAAGTAAGCAAAGAGAATGATGGATCATCCATTGTCTTTAAGTAGTGACTCTAAGTGGAAGTAATTCTATTAAGATCAAGAGATCTGGGATGAAATAGAGAAAGATGTAAAGAGAACTCGCACAGATCTTTCATTCTTTTATCAGGCAGTGGATAATAACAAAAATGTAAACAATATGGATCTACTCATGAAACAGGCAGAATGCAAGAGAAGTGAATTGACACTAGAATAGAAGGAGAAATTCATTGAGACTCATGCAGATGTACTACTCAGAGTATTATTTATTTACGCGAAGCTAAATCCTGGAATTAGATATGTACAGGGAATGAACGAGGTATTAGCTGTAATTTACTACTGTTTCTGGCGATAGGGAGATGAACTTATTATCAGTAATTAGTACCTAGAGAGTGATCTGTTTTTCTGTTTCAATAATCTGATGTCTGAAATTAGAGATGGATTTTTGAGAGAATTAGATAGAGAGCAAAGTGGAATTACTGGCAAGGTCTAAACATACGCTAATATTTTGAAAGAAGTTGATCCCTTGGTATACAGAAATCTCTAAGAGCAGAATGTTAACCATCAATTTTATGCATTAAGATGGCAAATGCTGTTAATGTGCTAGGAATTTGATATGAGTAATGTGCTTGTACTGTGGGATGCGCTCTTTTCTGATAGTGAAAGATTTTCGTTCTTGAACTATGTATGTTGCGCAACAGTGAATCTAAAAAGAAAGATTGTGCTAGTAGGAGATTTTGCTGAATGTATGGAAAATCTGTAAAGAGCATGTGATCATTTAACTGATGTGAGTGATCTAATTAATGATGCTAAGAAAATACAAGAGAAACATTTTAAGTTAAAGATCAAGGAGAGAATAAAATACGAAAATATGATGTCGTTAGATGATGATATTTGAATGACTCATAAAGCTAATAATGATGAAAATTAATGAAACAAAGATCTGAATATAATGGTTTGAGAAGTATGTGTATTTCTATGTATAAATTAACTACTAATCTTAACCTAGTGATAACTCTCTCTAAAATACATTTATCTTAAACTTTATTTGTCATTTATAATACATTCAATAATCAAATTCTATCTTAAATGAATAACAGAGGGGTTTTGGGGTTTTGGGGTTTTGGGG